TTTCTGAAGGATCATGTGACACTGAAGACTGGAGTAATGATGCTGAAAATTCAGCTTTGCGTCACAAAAATAAATTATATGTTAAAGTGTATTAAAATAGAAACCATTATTTTATATTGTAATAACATTTTACAAGATTTCATTTTTTTTTCTGTATTTTTGATCAAATAAAGGCAGCCTTGATGAGCATAAGAGACTCCTTTAAAAAACATTACAAGTCTTACTGATGCCAAACTTTTTAGCGGTAGTATATATGTGTTTTTTTTTCCCTTCTAGACAGGGGAGTTTTCTGCTCGATTCCTTCTCAAACTCCCTGTGGATTTTAGCAACATTCCCGTCTATCTTCTCAAGGTAAGATCCATCCATTAATACACACTCGTGGGAAGATCATAAACCCCCATTTCTTTAATTTGTTTGGTGAAAGGATGTTTATCTGTTTATCAGTCTCCACAAAACGTTACATGTAAAAGTGCATGTAAGTATAGGTCGCTCTCGTGCAAGCGTTCATTTCTCTGCTCTTGTTTGTGCGTGTGTGTAGGCTGCAAGTTGACTAATCAGCAGCCTGTCACTCCCAATCAACTCTGAGCTGTGTTGTGTCTGCAGGCCCTCTCTCTCGCCTCTCCTTCCAGTCACCCTGTGTCTTACCCTCCCTTCCTTTTTTTCTTTTCTATTTTTTTTTTTTTTTTCTGATTCCCCATCTCTGCCGCACTACCGTGTGTATGTTTGTGTCTATGTGTGCGTGAGAGGGTGTACGGCCTCGGGAGGCCCTTGCTCTATGGCCTTTTCCAGTTGGAGTCATGTTTGTCCTCCCCAAGAGAGCTGAAATGATGGTAAACATACGGAAAATAGCAGCCATCATCAGCATCACCGTCTCAGCGTTCAGTACCTCAGCAGTACACTAGACTCATGCATAGACATGTACAGTTCACTCCCAGTGCACCATATTCCACTGAAACTCACTTTAGCCACAAGTCAGCGGTCGTCTGTAAGGTCACCACTGTGGGGTCATTATTCCCAGCTAATTTGTCATGAAGCTTGACATATCAAGACCTTGATAGATGGTATGATATTTAAAAAATCCATTATATATTTGTAGGTCTTCTGATTCAAAGAAGGAATGGTGTATGTATGGTTAAAGCTGCTGTGTATTGTTTCTCACTTCAAGCTGCAAAAAACAAAACTGTAAAAATATGTCAGACCGATTTGTAACATATTTCTGTTATTTGGTTTCCAGTTTTCTGTGAAACTGTTGCCTTGATATCAGCAGGTCCAAGTATGTTATACAGGAAATGTAGCTTTTATCATAATGTAAGGTCCTCAGTTTTATTTTGTCATCAGTGCCTTGATTTAAGCTTTAAGATTTTTTTTTAGTTCAACAGTGTTTGTTGTGATTTGCCATAGATGGCTTCAAGCACTGACCGTTTTCCACAGAAACAACTGACGACCAGATTTAGCTCTGTAAGAGGTGCTTGTGAAAAGCCAGTGGAATGTCTGCCTCTGTACAATGGAAAAGCTCTGTAAATTAGCACATAAATTTGCTTTCTTGGCATTGAAAAGTAGCCAGAAAAGTTCAAAGGGATTCACTGGACAATTTACAGTTGAATATCAAATCTGTATGTTGCTGAAGAGTGTTGTTGCCTGAGTGAAGAATTATTTTGAAGTATTTGTCAGATTAGGTAAACTGGGGTTTGTTTAAAATAAGACATATACGTACGTGTGAATGCTTAATGTCTGATAAAGAATTATATATGTATATATACACTTCAAGTGAAATCACAGAACAAACAAGTGTGACGTCATTTCGACAACTTACGTTGGTCTATGAAGATTACTTCATAGGTGGATGTGATTTGGGGCTGTAGCTTGTTTGACATGGGAAATCTTTTCATTGCTTCGCCCAGTCTGTTGAGGTCAGACATGAGTAAAAATATGAACATGAACTGGAGTGCCAAACTGCACATTGGGTCAATCATATCCACATCCTTATGATCAGATGCTGTTTTAACTGCTTTTCTCATCACTGACATTATTGTTGTGTGTTAGTTGTGTTTCTGAAAGGATAAGCTCGCAGCACGTAGTTAAATACTCGCCTAGACATCACTCCCATTGCTCATGAGCTGCTTTGGAATGTTCACAAACAGTATACTATTGCTCAGCTATTTCAAACTTCTGTTTACCCTTGAGCAAAGAATGAACTTTATCAGAGAGTATATTGGGGCCTTTAAGGTAATATTCTGGTTACTTGAAATCCAAATAACACATCTTGCATATACCTCTGTTAATCAGAATTTTGGAGATATACAAAGTTATAGTTGCCTGTTGAAAAAGTACTTTAGTGTGTAGGCACCCTAACAGTATATTAATTTATATCTACGCATGTCCAAGTTAAGATAATTTCTACTACAAGACTAAATTAGTTCTAGAAGGTCAGACACTGGAGCCAAAATTAGATTTTGTAGCCTTTTTTTTTTCTTGGTATAAAGGCTGAACCCACCAGTGTCCAATCCTGCTCCTGGAGGGCCAATATACTACAGAGTTTAGCTCCAATCATAATTAAACACACCTGAAACAGCTAATAAAGGTCTTCAGGATTACTGGAATCTTCCAGGCAAAAGTGTTGGGGCAGGTTACAGCTAAACACTGCAGGACGTTGGCCCTCCAGGAGCGGGACACCCCTGGCTTAACTGTGAAATGGGCCTTAGTGTAAAGTGAATGTGGTCATTGACTTTTGCTTGTCAGTACTATCCTAAGCTGAGAATAGAATTTATTTAATTATACACTCTAAAAAATGCTGGGTTGTTTCAACCCAACTTTGGGTCAAATATGGACTAACCCAACTTTTGGGTTAAAAATTTCATTTAAAAATTTAACCCAACAGCTGGGTTAGTCCATATTTGACCCAAAGTTGGGTTGAAACAACCCAGCATTTTTTAGAGTGTATATAATATCACTGCCTCACACCATAAAGGTGTTGACAATGGAGAAAGGACAATGTAATTGCTAAATACAGAATTAAGTTATCACCAGGTCAAAGATTTCTGGTATGGGGATCCCATCATTTTCTTCCTGTCCAATACCTTCCTGTTACATTAATTCATGATACGTTTGAAAGTGAGCAAACATCACTGCTTTTTTGTCACTCCTCTAACAAGTTGCTGGTAGATGACATTTTGACTGTTTAAATCTTCATCAAATCTCTAATGACATCCCCTCCATGATTGCCTTTGCCCTCTGCTAGCAGAGCGAGGCTATGTAGGCATCGGTAGGAGTGGTGTTGTGTGCCATGATAGTTGCCTGGAGTGTGCCATCTCGCTGGTTTTATCTTAGTAGGCTGGACATGCTTACTTTCCAACATCTTCTTGTGTCCCTCAGGGCATCGAGGGCTTGTCATGAGAGCAGTCTGCACTGCTGGAGAGAAATAGAGGACCATGGCAATGGTGTAGTGTAGTCATCCTATCAGGCATCAATAGTTTCTTTCCTGGTAAGGACAGAAAGACTCGCAATTGCTGTTTTGTCTTTCTACTTTTGGATTGACTGTGGGAGCTCAAAGTAGAAGCCCTAGCCCTTCCAAAAAAATTTTATGTTTAAAAACTGATGCTAAACAGGAATGCTCTGATTTCTACGAAGTTCATTTAGAACAAAAAAAAAGTGCATCAGTGCAGACAGTTCAATCCAGTAGATTTGGACTGAGCACTGTTCACTGCTCTTTTGTTGCTCGGTTTAGTGTGGTACCCGTTCAGCTCTAAATGTCAGCTGTCCTAGTTTGCGCAGCCATCGGTGAAGCGAGCTGAGGCTCTAAGTTCGTGACAAGCCTGATCAGTCTCACTCCACTGGAGCCATGCGGACCGCTAGCCGAGACCTGACTTCCTGTGCTGCGGGTGAGGAGGAGGATTGCGCCGTTGGCCCTCAGGGATACCAATGCCACTGCCGTTGATTATTTTAGACAACTCTGGAGAGTAAAATGCCAGGTCTACAAGTTGCTTTTTGGCTTCTGTTAAAGGGCCACTCTGTTGCTGTTGAGTAAAGTCACTAATTCTACTGTTAGTGTTATCTGTATGCACCAAGGGTCTGAGAGTAACACAATTTCAATTCTCTGTGTGTATGTGCTGTACATGTGGAAGAATTGACAATAAAGCAGACTTGACTTGACTTGACTTGACTATAGTGGAATTAGTGATTGTTTTATTTAAATATGAAAGGGAAAGAATGAAAGTGAGAGCTAAACCTGGAGGCCTGTTTCTATCATGGTTTTAATATCTCCAAGGGGCACTTATTGGAATGCACAAAAAACAGCAACACAGGACAACAAATCTTGTAATTACAAGTTTTTGTTATGCTTACATTGTAAACACATTTATTTTAAAATTAGGTTCAAAAGCACTGTCTCCAGGCCTATTCACGCCAAGAGTGAAATGAAAAGCAAAACGAATCACTGAAGACAGGCCTATTCACACCAGAAATAAAATGCAAAAGCAAAACATCACAGATGACAGGTTTGTTCATGTCAGAAGTGAAACAAAAAAGCACTCTGGTTATTCACATGCAAAATATAACATCTGATACAGCATTTG